ATTTATCAATTATTTTTAACAATAAAACAAAATAAAATTGTGTGGCCTTAATATTAATAAAAGAATAGGTGACCATAAACACACTTACTTTTCTTATTTCATTTTTCTTATTAAATATAAAAAATTAATAACACAATAAAATTTTAAAAAACTTCCATTCCAAAACTTAATGAGTAATGATCTACGGAACGATTTTAGGAGACAAAACGGAAGACGACAAGTGAAGCAGTCCCAACAACAATTACCAATTTAACCCTACTTCCACTTGTCGTCCCTCAAAATCGTCCCTCAAAACCGTCCCGCAGATCATTACTCAAACTTAATAACTTTTCACACAATCCTTTTTTCACCACTACTTCAATAAAAAAATTTTACAATAATATTGGATCCTAACCAAACGGAGCCTATATAGATATTGAGTGTTTCAGCCTTCCATCTTAATTGGAGAAGAAATCAAATTTGAAAAGGAATGTAATATCTGGTTTCGATGAAAGTAGAGATTAAAGAAGGAAAAAGATTTATTTTTTTTTTCCTTTTCTGGAATGGATGAAGAAAGAGATGATTAGAAGGGAAGGGGAAGAAAACTCGTGCCCTTTTTATTTTTCTATCAATAATATTTAAAGTAAAATTTAGGAGTTCATATTCATTTTTTTTTCTTTCCTTTTTGATATTCATTAGGAGTCCATGTTCTTAATTAGTAATTTTCATATGTTAACATCTTGATTAGTAAAAGAAAAGAAAATGATTTTAGGATAAATTTTTTGTACAATTTTTTTTATACAACTTGACGTGTCATTTAAATGATTGATTTTTTTTATTCATATGAAACTTGTGATATTGAATGCATTCACTCATTTAATGATATGTAAAAGTTATATCAAAAAGTGATATAAAAAAATTGTTCCTATAGTACTACTATAAAAGAAAATGTTCATATCCTTAGTTTGTAAGACTGCAAAAAGTTCATATCCATATTCATCACTTTTGCCATATAATCTGCATCTACTTTCTGTTTTTGTTATTTTTTGTTTTTTAATCAATACTAATAGCATAACTAGCTGACCTGACCTCTCCAACCAAGCAACGAACTAGTAAATGCAATTCAATAGGAGTGAATGGAAACAACTCTCCAACCAAGTAACGAACTAGTAAATGCAATTCAATAGGAGTGAATGGA